GGGGGGGGGGGGTAACGATCGTTACCCTGGCTTGGGGAGGAACGCCACGGTTCCCAAACATGGCCCAGCGACGGACGAGGAGTGGAGGTGAAGGAGACGGACGGAAAAGCAGAGGGAGGGCTCGCGACCTGGTGCACAGCAGCGACAGCGGGGGGCGTCCCAGGGCGGTCAAGATGTCACACCTATACGTCCTTAGACCCCCCCGATAGTCGAAAACTAGATCTCTTGTCGGCGACCTCATTGACTGAACGGGGTCCCACCAACAAAGGGCAATGCATATTTCTCAGCGGCACCCGCCGCGCAACAACGACGAGAAAAAGCAGGACGGGCAAGGAGGCACGACGGGAAGAGGAGCAGGAGGGGGGGCGGAGCAGGAAGGAACTTGAAGCAGGTTGGCATTGTGAATCGAGAAATGTATTTTTTCAACGACCGGCGCGTACTGATCGATAGCGCAACTCGCATGGAACTTCTCCGATGTCTCCTTCATGAGCTGGCTCACAATACCAGGGGTCATCCGCTACATTCTGGCTGCCAATCTCACTCCCTCGGGTGAGGGCTTTATGACTGCTGCTGCCCCTCGACTCGCGCTGGATCTTCCACGATGACTTGAGATATGCCTGGATACCTATGGACGTACTTCGACTGATCTGGGTGCACGCTTTAGGGAAGTGCCTCGAGGTATCTGGCTTGATCCCTGCAAACCGATTGGAGACATCGACAACCCCTTGCGGATCCCTCCCGTCGGAACTTCAGAATGCGCCCGCCAGACGCGTACTCGGAGAGGCATATGCCTGCTGGCGACTCTCCCCCCTCTTTCTCTCTGCCGTCTCTCCTCCAGCTGCTCATGACCCCTCCTCCTACAGTCTCTCTCTCTCTCTCTCTATCTCTCTCTCTCTCACTCTATCTCTCTTGATCTCGCTACCTCTCTCTCTCTCGCTTTATCTCCCTGTCTCTCTCTCTCTATCTCGCTCGGTCTCTCTCCCTCTCTCCCACCTCTCTCTATCTATCTCGTTATATCGTTATCACTCTCTTTCTACCTCTCTCTATATTTCTCTGTACATGTCTGCGTTCCATAGAAATATACTCTAATATGTGTGAGGGGTATCATACGCAACTCTCCGAAATATTAGAGCTCGGACACGAACAAACACTTTAAGCCATGTTTCAATGTTGGCAATTTCGCTCGGGGCATCGTCACATTTTGAAAATCGGACACGCAGCTCACGCAAGTCGCACCGTCACGGTCCAACCACACACGACCTACATGTTTCACAACACGGCCAACAACACAATGTAATACGAGTATGTTGAGCCCGATTCTTCCAATATTGCGCTCTTCTCCAAGCATGGCACGCACAGAGACAAATCAGTACTATACGTCCTTCTTGGAGGAGGGCCTCCGCCCCGAACTGCTTTTGCGTCGGCGGCTAGGCGGAGTGACTGCGCTGGCGAGTGGAGCAAAACGGGGCAACGCTAAGCGAATTCAGCCGCCATGCAGGAATGCGGGGAGGACGCACGACGGGGCGACGGCCGAGGCAGGGAGGGAGGCGAGAGCCGGGGCCGCAGAGAGTCTCCCCCCCGAACGTGCAGCATGCCCATCTCGTAGTGAACTGTTTCTCGGGCGGTGTGGCCAGAAAGTGCCCGCCACGGCGCATACACTAGAAGACTTCTCCGTGCGTGCGTCGCCCCTGAAGCTAGGTGGGGCATGTCATCCTGCAGGCGGATCTTGGGCGAAACATATAAAATCCTCAACAGAAAAAAGCAAACACAAACGAAAATGATCAACAATCCTCGTCCCCGGATTAGGTCGGCGCCTTGACTGCATATATTTAGGTCGGGCATGTCCCCCGACAGGCGGATTCTGAACGAAACATCAAAAAGATACTCGAAAATCGCCCCCAGACTGTTCTGTTGACTATGTTTGAACACTCCTGCTGCAGAGGAACATGCCCGACTTCACCCTGAACCCAAGGCGGTCCTAGGTCGGCGCCTCGAGTGCAAAAGTATGTCCCCTACAGGCGGATCCTGGGTGAAAGCTTAAGAAATACCCAAAGAATACTCGAAAGATAATGAACCCTGGGGGGGGGGGGGGGGCGACGCCCTCATAACAGTGGTCTGCTGGAGCGACGCCGGATGCAGTCCGCGGAGCGCCGAAGAATGGGCGAAGGTGTTGCTTCTTCTGGCCGCGGCGAACCTCGGCTGCGAGCAGGCTCCCCGATCTAGATCCGGGGGAGGGGGGGGGAGCGAAATCCCAGACTTCGGTCGGGCATGTTCCCCTACAGGCGGATTTTGGAAGATTTTTATGTTTGATCAAAATGGGCGAATGAGGCCCCTGGTGAGGAACCCTCTCCCTCTCAACGTAGCACTTGGGCCATAATGGCCTGCAGCCGCTTTAGCTCCCTCTCTCTGCTAGCTTGCAAAAGGTCTCTACCAGCCCTCCACACGGGGGCCTCCTAGGCGGGCAACTTTAACCCACCAAGACTCTCACCGCACCTTTAGCACGGCACACTTTCACACCTAACTGGGGCCTCGACCGGGACCCCGAGAGACCTCATTAGAGCATACATACACGCCCACCCCCTCGGAGTCGCGTCGAAACCTCGTCCGACTCCGCTCTCATAAATTAGTGGTCCTCCCGGGCCCTCATGCAACAGAAACGAGCGCAAACCGCCCGTTAAAACAAGTAACGTTTCGCAGCACGGGAACTCGCTAGCGCCATCAAGGCTCCTCAGCCTTCGGGCGCTCAATTGAAGCAAGCTTACTACCGCTGGTGTCTCAACGGGGCTTGCACAGCTTGAGCCTGCTCCCTATCGCATTGATCGTCAAATCGTCCGCATGCATAGTAGAGCAGTTCGGACATCCGCCTGGCGACTCTTATCTCCTGGAGCCCTTGACGCATCCTTTGCCTGAGAATGAGATCGGTGGATCACCCTTTTTGGAACTCGATATGGCGTCAGCCTTCTCGATCTAGTATCCGACACGTAGTTCTGCAGATATACATATATATACATATATATGTATAACAAAAACAAATCCACCAACGATGAGAGCGATCCGCATCATCATCTGCGTCGAAACAGAAACACCGTTCGATCTGTCCACCGTCTCGATCGTAGAAGCCCTGCCAGTAGCATCCGCGCCCCTGCCAGTCTATAGACCTCCCAAACAGACAACGATACCTCGCCGACATTCGCCCTCACCTATGGTAGAACTTGCCTTAGTATCAGCATGAACCTCAGAAGCTTCGTAAACATCGCCGCCGTCACGATCACGCAAACCTACAGCCCACCTGTGCTTCTCGAAAGCTGATTTCTCTAGGTACTTAGTGCCCAGATCACTGCTGTTGTCTGCTGTCGGAATCTCATGAATCACCAAGCGCCCTTCACGGAGCAAGCCTTGAACAAACACGTGACGAAGATGAACGTGCTTCAACTTCCCAAGAACATGTCGGCTCTGATATGATATCCCAGCTGAACTGCCCGATTCTAACTGCAGACTGACCTGCTGGCCTGGAAACAACTCCTCGGGGAACGACTTCACGAACAAACCCTCGCACGCCCCTGAACCCATACTGTAGATCTCCGACCCGGCTGAAAATGTCACTGGGCTTGCCTGCGTTCTGCTGCATGCTGGAACCGCCGTCTCGTCGAGGCAGATGCGTCCGCTCGAAATGCCCGTCCTTCCGATCTTGTGGCCTGCCCAGTCACTGCCCACCTCCACCTTGGGAGCGATGTTGTTCTGATCCTCGGGAACAACTGTGGTAGCGCGCTGCTCGCTTAAGACGCAGGGCTATCCAACTGTCGGCTGACTCACGCCCCAAGCTGATCCCCTTCGTCGCGAACTGCAGGCCGCACCTCCCCGCGGCCACAAACAACAGCTACCCAGCACCTGTCCTGGACTTTTTCGCGCCCTCGTCGTTGAGCAACTTCGCCCTCCTGCTTGGCCTCCGACGTCAAGCCTGCGGTCGCCGCCGCCTTGGATTCCTCAAATCCCAGGTGCTGAAGGAAACTGTCGATAGTCTTCGGCGAAACCCGAATCGAACAGCCCATTTCCTCGTTTGACTTCCGAATGATGCGTCCCAGTTGAGCCTGAGAACGACCCCTCGTCATATCTGGAGAGATCTTCAGCGGGAAGTGCTCGCCCAACGCCTTGAGACAATCATCTGGTCCTCTCTCTACCTTCAACAATAACCATGCCATCATCTACGTGCCTCGCCACAACTGTCATCATCTTCGCTGACGTAGACGCTCGGCTCGGAAACCGACCAGCGCATGTTGAGCTTCTCAATGTTGCTTTGGCTGTAGTGGGCGTCGGGATCTACCATCGCCTCGTTATGCCAGTAGATCGTGCAGTGCAGCTCCCACGCGACGTCGCCTGGCCCATCGCCAAAGTTCTCGATGCAATACTCCTTGTACTCAACTGGCGGCTCGAGGAAGACCTTCTCCCGAATTGGAGCGTGCAAGAAATCCCTTGAGATGTCGAAGAACTTCACCTCCCACTTCTCGAGAGCTGCCAGCGCCAGTAGAGACCGTAGCGCACTGGCTCCGGGAGTCGGGGTGTAGAGTAGATCCTTCGGCTTCTTCGGCAAATTAAACGGCATTGCGCAGATCCTCGACTTCGCCCCCTCAGCTCTGGCTTCGTCAACCCAAACAACTGAAAGTCGAGGTCGACCCACTGCTGCTCTGCAAACGTCCTCTTTCGCCTTGACCTCGTCTAGCCTGCTCAACCCCGCGCGCCTCGCAACTGTGATTTCCTGCTCCGTGAACTCGCGATTCCTGACCACGCGCTTGATCATCTGCTCGTCGTTCTCCTCCTCGTTCGGCTTCAGCTCCCCCGCGACCTGGCTTGCTGCGCACTGCCAGCTGCTTGAGCGTCTTGGCCCGCTTCGCGCTTCTCTCCACCGCCGGCTGATTGCTTACCGTAGAACCTAACCCTCGGAGCTGCTGGCGCCGATGAACTGGATGCTGTTCTGAGCCTCCTCTACGGCTCTTGATCTCGGTGACTGTGGTCTTGGACGCTTGCCTCCTCCGCCGACTCCACGATCATCTGCTTCGCGCTTAGGACTTGCAGCTGATGGCTTTGCCCTCGGTCCTGGCGCTGCCTTAGCTGCTGCGGCTCTTTGAACTGGTAATGCCACTGCTGCTCCACCAAGCTGTCACCTCTTGAACTCGGCCTGCCTCGATAAACACGCCGTAGTAGGAGCCTTAGGTCGCCCAGCGCGTCGAACTGGTGCTCGATCGTCTTCGCGCGCCTGACATCCCTCAGTAGGTGTCCAGCCTGCCGCGCCACGAACGTCCCTCAAGTCCGTCTGCGAACAAATCGGAAACACCATCTTGTCGAACGCCCCCTTGTCCCACTGCAACTCCTCTGGCCCCTTCTTTATCGTCCTAACCGTCACGATGCCCGGCGCCGGACCTACGACGTGCTCGTCGGAACCCGCAGACCTCCCAAGCCACGCTCCAGGCTGCCACGCAGAAGTAAGCCGATTCTCTGGAACTCCAGACTTCTTCGCCATGACGTTCTCGCCAACATAAAAAAGCGGGGGCCTGTATTTCGCCATCTTCAGATCCTCGTAGGTCGTCCTGCCGAAACGCATGTACTGGAACCTGTTATGAACGAAAATGACCTGCCTCGCGATCCAGCTCAAGATTGCGGGGCCACCCTCGACCACTACAAGATACCTCTTTTGAGCTGCATGTGCATGCGTCCTCGCCAGGCCCTCGACGACCCTCACTGATGCCTAGGGTAAACCGTTACTCTCATGTGAACCGGGCGCCGATCCCCGCAATCACATCTGCGTGATAATATCACGGGGCTGCTTGCTGCGCTCCTTGACTAACGCCTTCCCAAGAGCAACGATGGACGGCTCGCCGTCGCTTTGACTGCTAACCCTCGGGTAGCCCAACTCGTCCAGGTAGATGCGGGGAAACGCCACCGCGCGCGGAGTCGGCCCCTTCGCTGGTGCCCGAGCTGCTCCTGTGTAGGATGAAACGCTGTCCTGAATGACCAAGATCGTAGCCGTCTCTGCGTCGCCATCCTCCAAGGCCAAGAAGCAGTAGTCCATGTCCAGAACTGGATTGGGGGATAAAACTTCTCCTTGTCGTCGTCGATGTGCTTCTCCCTGCCAAAGTCCGATGGCGCAGCCATCGCACCACGGTGCGTAAGGAATGTGGGTAGGGTTGTGCCTCTCCTGCTCCTCTTTACTCGGCAACTCTGGGACCCGCATTGCAGCTGCTTCCGCCGCTTCCACTGGTACTTGAACTTCTTCTCCACTCTCAATGATACCTCCCGTAGGATGTCCCGTCGCCAGGTGGCTTTCGATGGTCTCGACCGACTTCAACTGCTTGACCGAACCTGAATGATCCACCCCTGTGAGGTAGTAGCCGCGCCCAACGCTTGGCAACTGAACAGTCGATCCACTCTTGGGCATGTAGCCCTGATCGCCAAGCTGGAACACATAGCCACGGCCCGCAAGCTCGCCAACTAAATTTAACGGCCTCCGAACATCTGCGATCACGAACGGCTCCGCCACTTTCAGCAGCCTTCCGCGCGCTGTCGCAACGCTGAACGGGACAAGCCGCTGCCCATAAACTCTGATCCGCGCCCCAGTAGCCGAGCGCAACTTTGGTTCCTGGCTCCTGGACACCATGTGCTTCGAATACTCCTTCGGCGCCACACGTTCTCGACTGAGGCTGCTGGCGTCTGGGAATTGCTTGAAACTCCACTCTGCTGCCCACCTGCACCCGCAACCTCGTCATGGGTAGTGCCCGGGGCTTGTCTGCGACATGCGACTTCTGCCTGTCCGTGTCCTTTTTCCCGTCCGAGGCTTGCCCTTGCCGTTGTCCCTGCTTTTGTGGTTCTTGCCCATCGAGTCGTTATTGCCCTTGCCTTTGCTGTCCTTACCTTTGTTATTGTTATCCTTGCCCTTGCCCTTGTGAGCGTTGCCGGCGTCCATCGAGGCTGGCCCCGAGCTCGCTTCTGCCGAACTCATTTGCAACTGCGCGTAATTAGACATGATCTCCTTGAGCGACTCGGCCAAAACGAACGTCTGCATATCAACCTGGGCCTTGATGTTTGCTGGCGCATTCTGCTTCAAAGCCGCTTGCTTGAGCCTGCCCGAGAGCCTCTCATTGTGCTGCTTCTCGCGCGCCTGGAACCTACTCTCCAAAATCTGAAACTGCTCTGCAAACTTAGTCGGCCCGCCGTCAACTTTAGCGTTGAGAACACACATCAACTGCGGGACCTGAGCCGCTCCAGTCGCAGGCTCTTCTAAACGAGCCAGCCGTCGCCAAGCCCCTTGACCGCGACAACCGGGGACGTTCATCACCAACTGAAGAGAACTACCTTGAAGCACCTGGGATATAATGAGAGCCAACGTTATGATCTGTCCTCGTCGAACCTCATTGAGTCCGCTGACTGGAACCGGGCTGATCAGGCGCTCGGTCTGCTCTAAACTTTCCGGAAGATCTCCGTCCAAAGTGCCAGCATATGCCTTGGACGCATACTTCCATTGAAACCAGTCTGTTCGCCGCCCAGAATACGCCTTCGGCTTCCCCAGAAACTCGGCGCACGCAAGCTGCAAAAAACTTCCTTGATCACCCATGACTTCTTGCGATGATCAACCAACTCGCACACGCACGCCCCCCTGAAATTAACCTTCGCCCAACTATCGCGGCGCGCCAGGAAACCGTGGATCACGCCGCGGGATCCGCTGCCATGGGCGAATGGGGTCCCTGGTGAGGAATCCTTTTCCTCTCAACGTAGCACTTGGGCCAAAATGGCCTGCGGCCACTTCGGCCCCCTCTCTCTGCTAGCTTGCAAAGGCCCCCACTGGCCCCCCAAACGGGGGCCTCCTAGGCGGGCAATGTTAATCCACCAAGTCTCTCACCGCACCTTTAGCACGACACACATCCACACCTAACTGGAGCCTCGAGGGGGGGCCCGAGAGACCTCATTAGGGCAAACATACACGCGCGCAAATTAGCCTGGCGAAGGACCCAACCATATGCAGTTGTGAATACCGCAAATGTGAATATCATCTTCGTTCGAGCTCCCTACGGGGCCGCGAACCGCGCGATGGGGGCGCGGCGAAATGCGTGGCGGGGTCCACAATGCGAACAAAGACGGCCGGTCTGACTGCGAGGGACTGATAAAAGGCGCGCCTGAGCGCGAGTGAGTCCGATTGTAAATGAGTCTGCGCGCGAGTCAGTCTACGCGCGTGAATGTCAACGCCCACGTCGGCGCCCATGTCGGCGCGCTCATCGCGAGGATCGCGCCCGCCTCCTTCCCTTTCTTGTTATGCCTCTTTGCCCGCGCGCGCCGATGTCCATGGCTGCGGGCGCGGCGCCGCGCGGAGTCCCCGCGACGCGCGCTGGTCGCCCCGAAGGGGTCCGGCGACGCGCGCGGGTCGTCCGCTGCGCGGAGCAGAAAGAGAGAGAGAGAGAGAGAGAGAGAGAGAGAGAGAGAGAGAGAGAGAGAGAGAGAGAGAGAGAGAGAGATAGAGAGAGATAGAGAGAGAAAGAGAGAGAGAGAGAGAGAGAGAGAGAGAGAGAGAGAGAGAGAAAAAAAAGAGAGAGAGAGAGAGAGAGGGAGAGAGAGAAATAATAATAATATTTTTTAAACAAAAAGTGCTAGCTGGCCGCTGGGTAGAGCGACGACGGGGGCGAGCGAGGCTCTGGGCAGAGCGCAGCGCGGAATTCCCGCGACGCGCGCTGGTCGCCCCGAGAGGGTCCCAGCGACGCGCGCGGGTCGCCCGCGGCGCGAGGCCAAACAGTCAAACCGTCGAGAGACGGCGAGGCTCGGGCGGGCCGCTCCTCTGGTCAAGCCTCGCGGATAAACTCGGTGAAGCCCAGCTCCCTGGCGAGGGCCGTCGCCTCCCATCTGCACCACTTCGTGCGCGCTGCAAACTGCCCCAACTGTTTCCGCAAACCCTCCGGCGGCCCTGCCAGGAAGAACTCGATGCGAACTGCGCCACTGCGACCTTAGAAGGGCCGCCATGCGATTTCCGCCAGTGGGACCTTAACTGGGCCACGAAACGCGTGAGGGGCGTGCCAAAATCGGGCGAAGCCGCAATGCGAGTGCCGCGACCGGGACCATAGGTCGAGCTCCCTATGGGGCCACGAAGCGTGTGAGGGGGTGCCATAATGGGGCGAGGCCGCCATGCGAGTTCCGCCACTGGGACCATAGGTGGAGCTTCCTATGGGGCCATTGAACGTGTGAGGGGTGTAACAAAATGGGGCGAGGCCGCCATGCGAGTTCCGCCACTTGGCATTTAGGTGGAGCCCCCTGGGGCCACGAAGCGTGTGAAGGGTGTGCCTTAATGGGGCGAGGCCGCCATGCGATTTCCGCCACTGGGACCTTAGGTGGAGCTCCATACGGAGCCACGAAACGTGTGGGGGGTGTACCGAAACAGAAACATGCGGAGAGCAAAGGCAAGGAGGGGGAGGAGGAGGAGGACAAGGAGGAGGAGGAGGAGGAGGAGGAAGGAGGAAGGAGGAACGCGGGGCGCTGTGTCTTCAAAACGAGGACCCGACACCACAGGATGGCTCGGGAAACTAAGAAAAATAGTCAAACACATCTGATCACAAAATCGTCCCCTGACTATTATTTGATTATTTTTGAATGTTTCTCCTCTCGCCATCGCTCGGACGTCCATTTCCTGTGCGCTTTTCGGTTTCGTGCGTGTTTTTGTTGCTCGATGGTCCAGGATGGTCCTCGATGGATCTCGCCGAGAAAAAATGCACACGTCCGAGCGATGCCAAATCCTGTAGGGGGGGAAAAAGCACGACGGCAAATGTTCGTTATTGTCGGCCTCGGCCCTGGCACAATCGAAAAACGACTCAGGATGCAAGCTGGTCCTGGGGAAGGGGTTCAGGTCTCTCAGGGGGTCGACGTTGTGAAAGTCACGGCGTCGGGGGTCTGGGATGATAGGATAGCACAGGACAGGCTAGAGAATCGACGCACGCAGCTCGTTTTCGTGGCGCCTCCTGGCGCTGGGAGGCGCCCACGTATCGAGGAAAAGGCCCGAAAGGCGGGGCGGAAACCAGCTTCATGCAGCAAACTTCGTACCCCCTCTCGTTCCGTAACCTTCGTCAGGTTCGTGCGGCGACGGCGCGCGCCAGGGTCTTTGTCACCGCCTCAATCGAATTCAACCTTGAACCGATCGCGGCCCCGATCGTTCAAGGTTGAATAAAATCAGGTCCAAAGGCGTTACCGTGTCCCTCGGTGCTTCCGCGTCGCAGCATTCGGCTTCGAACGCCTTCGCCAGCGTCACCGGCGCGCCGACGCCGCCTGCGCCTGCCGTACCCCTCGCGATCGGCCCGAGAAAAAAAAATCAGGGGCACGGTGCAGCCCCCCCTGAGCCCAAGGTGGTCCTGAAGTCGGCGCCTTGACTGCATATCTTCAGGTCGGGCATGTCCCCCTACAGGCGGCTTCTGGACGAAAGCTCAAGACTGCTCGAAGGCTCGTCTCTGGACTGTTTTGTAATTTGTTTTGGGTATTCCTTCCGTAGAGGGACGTGCCCGACTTCACCCTGAGCCCAAGGTGGTCATTAGGTCGGCGCCTCGACTGCATGATGATGTCCCCTACAGGCGGATTCTGAATGAAAAAATCAAGAATGCTCGAAGAATCGTCCCTGGACAGTTTTGTGACTTGTTTTGACTACTCCTCCCGTAGAGGGACGTGCCCGACTTCACCCCGAGCCCAAGGTGGTCCTCAGGTCGGCGCCGCGACTGCATAATTATTTCCCCCACAGGCGGATTCTGGACGAACAATCAAGAATGCTCGACGAATCGTCCCTGGACAATTTTGTGACTTGTTTTGACTATTTCTCATTTCTCCCGTAGGGGGACGTGCCCGACTTCACCCCGAGCCCAAGGTGGTCCTCAGGTCGGCGCCTCGACTGCATATTTTTTTCGCCAACACGCGTATTCTGGACGAACAATCAAGAATGCTCGACGAATTGTCCCTGGACTGTGTTGTGACTTGTTTTGACTACTCCTCCCGTAGGGGGACGTGCCCGACTTCACCCTGAGCCCAAGGTGGTCCTCAGGTAGGCGCCGCGACTGCATAATTATTTCCCCCACAGGCGGATTCTGGACGAACAATCAAGAATGCTCGACGAATCGTCCCTGGACAATTTTGTGACTTGTTGTGAGCATTCCTCCCGTAGGGGGACGTGCCCGACTTCACCCTGAGCCCAAGGTGGTACTCAGGTCGGCGCCCCGACTGCATCATCATTTTCCCCACAGGCGGATTCTGGACGAACAACCAAGAATGCTCGACGAATCGCCCCTGGACTGTTTGGTGACCTGTTTTGAGCATTCCTCGCGTAGGGGGACATGCCCGACTGCACCCCGAGGCCAAGGTGGTCCTCAGGTCGGCGCCTCAACCGCATGATCTGAAGGGGCCCTGGGACACACACACACACACACATATATATATATATATATATATATATATATACACACATATATATATATGTGTATATATCAATGCACACAAATAACAGGACTCGTCCTCCCCTCTTTTCTGGGCTTTCGTCCTCCCCTCCTCTTCCCATACTTTTTCCAATACTTTCTCGGACATCGACGATGAATTGTGCCTGTGTTTTCCCCTCCTGAATAATTCTGTCCCCCCACCTCTCTCGGGAGCGGCCAAGAGGGGCGTGTCCAAGAGGGGGGGTGCAAATCATGAGTGGCGGCATGTGCGCGGCCCAGCGGGGGGGCCAGGGACGCAATGAAGTAAGAAGAGGCGCCAGGAAATCTGGGTCAATAGCATGGCCCCCGTCATGACATCCACCCCTAGTCATTTTCCCCCGTCGTTTCCGCCCCCGACGCTCCCGGCGCCTCGCTCGTCCGACCTTGGCTCGTCCGACTCTCCCGACTCCCAATATCTTCCAGTATTTTCTGGGCTCTCGTCCTCCCCTCCACTTCCCATACTTTCCCTTCTTTTCGAGGGAATCGACGATGAATTGTGTCTGTGATCTCTTTCCCTCCCGAATAATTCTGTCCCCTCTGTTCCGCCCCAGCCTCTCCCGGCGCCCCGCCCGTCCGACCCTGGCCTCCCTCCCTATTTGTTTCAATAGTTTCTTGGAATATCGACGATGAATTGTGTCTGTGTTGTTTTCCCTCCTGAATAATTATGTCCCTCCACCTCTCCCGGCGCCCCGCCCGTCCGACCTTGGCCGCCCTCCCTATTTTCTTTAATATCTTCGGGGGAATCGACGATGAGTTGTGTCGGTGATTTCTTTCCCTCCCGAATACTTCTGGCCCTCCACCTCGCCCGGCGCCTCGCTCGTCCGACCCTTAAAACAGGGCTAGGATCGGGATAAATCGCTCCAGAGCGTTCCGGAGCGCTCTCAGAGCGTTCCGGAACGCTCTGGAGCGGCCGCGGCGCCCGATACGTCCTCCAGACCCGCCGATTCTCAGAGATTTCGAGTTATCCCGATCCGATTTTGTCCCGATCTTCGCATCGCCGATGCATCGGCGATGCGGCGCGATCCTCCGACCCCGTCTGGCAGGCCTGTAGCAAGGCAAACGCCCTGCCGGGCCTGTCCGGGGGCTCGTCCTGGGAAGGCTCCCAGGGCGAAACGCAGCCGTGGCGGCGACGAGCCGCTCCCCGAGACGGGAATGAAGCACAGGCGCGCCCGCCCCCGACCGGTCCTGGGGCGCGTCCTGGTCAGACTCCCGGGGCGGGCGGGTGCGGCCGTGGCGACGCGAAGAGCCCCGGAGGCGCGCGGAGAGGGCG